AGAGCTCCAAAGCTCCAAAGGGCAGGCAGTGGGCGGCAAGAGTGGCTCTGGGCCCCCCACAGGGTACTTCAGCCAGGAATGGGACCGGTGTGTCTGAGGGGCAGGCGCCCAGAGCCTCCCTGTGTGACCGGCGGCTTGGTGCCAGGTGCTGGACTGGAGACAATGCAGCCGGGGAGAGAGCCAGAGGGGGCTGGGACTCAAAACTCCCATGCACACAGTGGAATAGCAGCAGCAGTAGGCTGCAATATCTGGCCTTAGGAAATGAGGTAAAGTTTGTTAATAGGTGGGCGGGGCAATGGACGTCTCTGCCTGGAGAATGGTGAGGCAGTTTAAGCAGATCTGTTTTTCTCCGCTTGTCTGGGTCCTCCGGCTTGGGGTCTTGTGCTGAGTGCCTCAGCCAGGGTTGGCCCGGAGTTCCAGAGCTCCAAAGTTCCAAAGGGCAGGCGGTGAGCGGCGAGAGTGGCGCTGGGCCCCCTGCAGGATACTTCAGCCAGGAATGGGACCGGTGTCTCTGAGGGGTGGGCGCCCAGAGCCTCCCTGTGTGACCGGCGGCTTGGTGCCGGGCTGGAGACAATGCAGCCGGGGAGGGATCTGGAGGGGGCTGGGACTGGAGACTTCCACACATGTAGTAGAACAGCAGCAGTCGGGGGGGCGCAATATCTGGTCCTGCGTGGGACCGAAGTTCCCAGGCCTGGCACCAGCATGGTTGGTGGTGGGCTGGGGGATGGGGGAAGAGAAGTAATAGCCTTTTTGGGAATTCACTTCCAGAGAATCTCACCAGTTCACCTATGCCGTCGCCATCTTGCTTCGGTAAATGACTTTTATAGTAAGAAATACAAAACACTGCTCAAAGACATCAAGGGTGACACAAACAAAAGAAAAAAATCCCATGCTCATGAATTGGAAGAGTCAATATTGGCAAGATGTCCATTCTACCCGAGGCAATCGACAGATTCAACACAATTCCTATCAAATTGACAGCATCATTTTTCACAGATGTAGAAAAGAAGATAAAGAAATTCACATGGAAGAAAAGAGAAATCTGAACAGCTAAAGCAATCCTCAGCAAAAATTAGAAAGTTAGAGGCATCACACTTCCAGACCTTAAACTTTCCTACAAGTCTAGAGTAACCAATACAACATGGTATTGGACATAGATAGACACATAGACCAGTAAAAAATAACAGGTCATCTAGAAATAAAACCATGGACATTAAATCAACTACCCCTTGACAAAGCCAATGAAAACAAACATTGGAAAAGGAAATCATATTTAGCAAATGGTGCTTGGGAAACTGGCTAATCACATGCAGAAAAATGAAACTGGACCCCTACCTCTTGCCATATACAAAAACTAATTCTAAATGGATCAAGGACTTAAATGTGAATCTTCAAACTATAAGCATCTTAGAAGAAAACTTAGGGAACACCCTCCTGAACATTAGAGTAAGCAATGAATTCATGGCCAAGTTTCTCAAAAGCAAATGAACCAAAAGCTAAGATTTACAGGTGGGACGTTATCAAACTGAAAGGTTTCTGCACAGCAAAAGAAACCATCAAAATCATCTATTAGGTAAAAATTGTACAGATGGGCATATTGGGTACACTTAAAGCTCAGACTTCCTTGTCACTATACAAAGCAATCACGTAACCAAAAACTAATTGTACCCCATAACACTATTGAAAAGGAAAAAAAAAAAAAAAAAAAGATGCAACCTACAGAATTGGGAAAAATATTGGCCAACTATGCATCTGACAAAGATCTAACATCCAGGATCTATAAGGAACTCAAACTAATTGAAAGGAAAAACAAACAACTCCATTAAAAGTTGGTAAAGGACATAAACTTACACTTCTCAAAAGAAGACACACAAGCAGCCAACAAATATGTGAAAAGAAGCTCAACTTCACTAATCATCAGAGAAATCCAAATCAAAACTACAAAGATATACCACCTAACACCAGAAAGGATGGATATCATTAACAAATAAAAAAACAAGTAAACAGGTATTGGCATGGCTGCAGAGAAAAAGGCCTCTGTGCTGTTGAAGGGAACATAATCTAGTTCAGTCTTTGTGGAAAGCAGTGTGGTGTTTTCTCAGAAAACTAAAAATTAAGCTAGCATACAATCCACCAATCCTACTTCTGGGAATATAGCCTGAGGAACATAAATCACTCTACCAAAAAGACACCTGAACATGTATGTTCACTGCAGCATTACCCACAACAGCAAAACATAGAACCAACTCAGATGTCCATTGAAAGTGGACTGGCATGCCTTGGCATCTTCCTAACCAGAGAAGGGAAAAGACGTTACAATGAGAACTACAAAACACTGTTCAAAGAAATCAAAGATGACACAGTCAAGTATTTTACAGGGCTATGAATCTTATGCAATATATTTATTTAGGTAGAAATTTTTTCTTACTATTAAGGCTGTTAAGAGAACAATTTTATTGACTTCATTTATTCCATTGTCCAGACTTTCTGAGTTTTTCATATGCACAAGGTAGAGCTGTCATTAAAAAAAAAAAAGAGCTAAATGGAAGTTTCTGTGTTACAAACATAAAATTTACACATTAAGTATGTCTACCTTGTGCTTGACGCTCCAAGGGTATCAGTGGGTATTTCATGAATTAGGATAAGAAGAGCTGTTTTCTGATACTAAAATCTGTTGATAACCTGACATTCTTCCTTATTTATAACCACCAACATTTCTTTGTTTTTCAATTCTAGTAATAAGGATACCCAAATTCCTTTTTAGTGGGAGTGACAACGTACAAAACTACGAAGTAAGCAAAACTTGTCAACAGTTCCACAAAATTCTCAGCAGTGTTTAATTTCTCCCAGAAGGGCTCAGTAGAATCATGTTTTCTTTCCCTTACCAATAACACACTCCAAAAGCAATTTATTGATACTAAGTAGCATGCAATTAATAAGCACAATAAGTCATATCTTCCAAGTGGATCTACATTTTAAGAAAAAATAGACTTAAGCACAATAAGAATTTTGAACATTCATCAATATTTAAATGAAAAACTTCTATCTCCTGGCAAGATGGATTCACCCCATGAGAGTGTGTTTTGTAATGATGAAAGGTTATAGTTCTCTCTCTTACTCTCATAAGCACCTCTGGAATTCCTAAACCACAATTGAGCTTTCTGCTGCATTTCTACATAGATTGCCCCTCCTCCCGCTGGTATAATGCTGATCTCGGAAAATTTGACAGCTTTCAACTTTATACAGCTTTCAAATCTTATTTTCAGAACTTATCAACATCGAATAACTTCAAAATTTCACAAATGTGTCTGGTCCAATATTGGGTTAGAATTTTATTAATGGGTTGCATAGTCAAGAGCAGAAACACAGTAGGTAACATTGCTTACCTCTGTCAAAAGCATGATAAACTCAATTAAAGTGTAGGAAGGTATTAAAATCATTAAAATTAAGCTGAGTTTTCCATGATGAATTGATAGCAGAATTATTAACATAAACACTGACATCTAGAAGAAAAAATACAGATATTATAATTTTCTCAGTCATATTTGATATCTTAAAATATTCCTATTAATAACTTGTTTTCCTTTGAGATATTCTCATTTTCAATTTTCATCTCATACATAGAAATATTGTTAGGATATACTCTTTAGGAGGCATCAACTAAAATACAAGATTACAATAAGATCTGACATAAATATCTTAAAGATTTTGTACTATCTGGTAGAGATAAACAGCAACAATAAAAGAAGGCAATATAACATTGTTTACTTTGTTGATTACCATAAATCCCAAAATGCTTTGAGTACAAGAAATACAGTCAAGAATTAACTTATGATAAGATGTGAGGAATTAAAAGCAAACTAAACTTTGAAGTTGGTGTTTATTGCCAATTTTAAGCAGTAGGACAAATGTGAGGGTTATCTATCTTGATATCCAAGGAAGAAGTATTAAAGTTTAGAACATAACCAAAGAAAAATAATAGGGTTAGCACAATAAAGGGCACCTCATATCCCTACTAAGACTATGAGAGTAGTTTCTTAAGTTGGCTCCCTGGCTCCAGTTCTCCCTCCATTCAAAAGCCATGTGGCATTCCAAATACATATGGCTGAACATTCAACAATATGGGTTTGAATTACATGGGTTCAGTTACACGTGGAATTTTTTTCAATATATGTTAGGGGAAGATTTGTAACAATTTGAAAAAACTCAGACAAACCACATAGCCTAGAAATATCAACAAAAAAGGAAAAAAAAGAAAGAAAAAGGGAAAAGAAAAGCTGTCACTGAAGCCATGCCAGTAAGTACAAAAACCTTGTACTTTTTGTGAAATACTTCTTTAATCTCATATTGAAAATGTAACTTTTATGTGGGTACAGCATTCGTATAAGAAACACATACTATAGACTCTAATATGATTCGAGAAAAAACAAAGCCATTATATTACAACTTAAAGCAAAAGGAAGGTGAAGGATCTAAAGGTGGAGAATGTAATGCCAGCAAAGGATGGTTTGATAATTTTAGAAAGAGGTTTGGCTTTACAAATATCAAGACAAGAAAAGCAGCGGCTGCTGACCAAGAGGGAGCAAATAAGTTCCCAGATGTCATTAGTAAAATAATTGAGGAGAAAGGATATATGCCTAAACAGGTTGTTGATGCAGATGGAAGTACCCCATTCTTGGGTGGGGGGATCCACAAAGGACATTTATACTAAGAAAGAGAAGTGAGCACCAAGATTTGAGGCAGGAAGAGACAGGCTAACTCTACTTGTTTTGTGCAAATGTAATCAGGCTTACGATCAGGATTGTAAAGCTAATAATGCTATCACCCAATCAAGAGATTACAGACATGGCAAACAGTGTAGGAAGTGAAGAGTTCAAAGATACAGATCTTGGAGAAATTCAAGAGCTAATAGCACATCAAAGAAGTTAACAGAAGTTGACTTCATGGAAATGAGTTCTTCCGAACCAGTGCCATATGATAAGGAAGAAGACAAGACGAAGCAGTGCCATGAAACAGACTGACGTTAGCAGAAGCATTCCAGTTATTCATGACTGCTTTTGACTTCTTTTATGAGTGAGTCCCTTCATGATACAGACACTGAAACCAAAACAAATGGTGGAAAAAGGATCGGTACCACATAGAAACATTTTTGGAGAAATGAAAAAAGCAAAAATGTGAGACAGAAATTATGAGGTATTTCCGTGAAGTCACATGGAGTGTGCCTGTCTTTCCTGTTTCCCCTTCCACCTCTTCTGCCTCTGCCACCCCTGTGACAGCCAGACCAATCTCTCTACTTCCTCTTCCTTCTCAGCCTGCTCAATGTGAAGACAGCGATGAGGAATTTTATGATGCTCCACTTCCATTTAATGAATAGTAAATATATTTTCTTCTCCTTATGATTGTCTTAATACCATTTTCTTTTTACTAGCTTACTTTATTTTAAGAATATGGTATAGAAACATACAAGCTACATGTTGTTTTTTGTTGTCTTGTTTTGTTTTTGAGTTGGAGTCTCGCTCTGTCGCCCAGACTGGAGTGCAGCGGCCGCTCCCGGCCACTGCAGCCTCGCCTGCTGGGCTCCGGCAATCCTCCCGCCTCAGCCTTCCAAGTAGCTGGAACTACAGGGGTGCACTACCACACCCGGCTGATTTTTGATTTATTGTAGAGATGAGGTCTCGCCAAGTTGCCCAGGCGGGTCTCGAACCCTTGGGCTCAGGCAACCCACTCACCTCAGCCTCCCAAAGCGTGGGATTACAGGCTGAGCCACCGAGTCCGGCTCAAACTACATGTTAACCAACAGTTTATGATATCAGTAAGGCTTTCTGTCAACAATAGGCTATTAAGTAGTTAAGTTTTGGAGAGTTAAAAGCTATATATTGATTTTTGATTGCATGAGTGGGTGAGCAACCCCCAACCTCTCTGCTGTCAACTGTATTTTGATTTGAATAGGACTCATTCTCTTTTTTATATTCTATTAAATGTAAGTCCCTGATTGCAGAAGATTTGCCTTGTTCATGGTTATATCTCACGCAAAGTATCTGGCACATAGGATAACACAATCAATATGAAGGAATAAATAAATATTGGGAAGGGCAAAGAATAAGGAGGATTTTTGTTTTCCTGTTTTTATTCACCAATTTTAAAAGATGCATATTGAGAGTCCAGTTTATGCAAAACACTTTGTCAACAGTATTGTAGCTATTGTAGTCATAGAAATAAAGAGGAAGAAGAAAAAGAAGAGGATAATAATCCTACTGTGCACTTAAATGAGCATTTACTATTTATCATGTACTTTGATGAGTCATTTACCAGAACTATAATAGTTAATTCTCTTTTAAAACTCCAGTCCTAAGACATGTTAAGTGCTACTGTTATTATACATATTTTATGAGATGCAAATAACTGAACCTCATAAAAACTCAAGTAACTTCCCCAATATTTTACAGCTACTAAATACCAGATCAAGGATTCAAACTTGGGGTCAAATCAGTTGTCCAATCAGGTCAATATATAATGTATTGGATATCATAATCTTCCACATATGAATTAGATGTTTCTAAAAACCTAAATAAATGGGGTAGACCATGTTTATGAATGAAAATATCCATTATTATAAATATATTATTTCTCCTCAAAGTTATCTATTGATTCATTGCAATCCTAATTAATACCCTTTCTTGTGGAATTTGATTAACATATTCTAAAAAGTACATGAAAATCCAAAAAATCAAAAATAACCAGGGTACTTTAAAAAAAGAGTGGGAAAATTTGTTCTGTGAGATAAAACTACCACAATTGCGACAGTGGAATATCAATGTAGGAATAGGAAAAAAATCAATGGCAGAGAACAGAAAGGCCAGAAACAATCTTGATTTACGAGAAAGATAGCACTGCAGAGCAATGAGATACTAATATGGACAAGTGAATATCTGAATATATACATATCTTTACAAAGCATATGAACAGTGTTTTTTCCTACAAGCACAAGAAAAAAATTTTCTGAAGGAGAAAACAATATAACCTAAAATTATCTCAGGATTTTATAAGTCTTGTATATATTTCAGAATCTCCTAAAAGACTGACTGACCATAGCATTTATAATTATTAAAGGTATTACTTTAACAAAATATATAGCAATATATCTTCAGTTTTTCAGAAAGATTATGTTAGATTTCCTAAATCTAACAATGCAGCAAAATAACCTATCTTTGCTCATCCTGCTTCTTCATCTTTGTTCCTGCTCTGTATATCATGCTACTACTCTAGTTAACCCCATCTATCTTGCTTCACCCACAAAATAAATGAAAATAATTCTTCTGTTGACCATTTTTTTCTGGCAAGCAATGATAGCAACAACCATACATTTTAAGGAGTATTAAACACTTGTTTCTACATGCTAATTCTATGTTTACTTTTCCATCTGCTGTAAACTGGATTCTACATTCACTATTGCACAAAACTGTAATTTTAGAAGTTAGCTATGGATATCTGTATGTAGAAATATGGTGGAATAAATATACTAAACGGCCTTACCAAACTATAAAATTAAATTTTGGGGGATATTAAAACAAATGTCCCTTAAGTGCCCTGCTAATTTCAGGGGGTAAAAGTGAGGAAATTTTTCAAGGAGAAAAACAAGGCCTGAAATCTGACTTGGACCACTAAGTCAACACTAAATCTGAGAGGCCTGGGGACAAATGCCCATTGCAGTCCTTGGGTCAAGAGGCTAAAATTTAGGTTCTCTTTAAGGTTCTTCCCTGAAAATATCTTCAAGGGAATATAATGAACACCTATTGATAGGCGTTTTCTGCAAATCACTTATTAAAGCATTATACTCTGAGATACCTCACATAATGTTAGGTGGATTATACATTGAAATTACTAAGTAACTGAAAATCTTTTTGAGATGAAAACTTCCCCAATGTAGGCTCTTAGGATCCACACTTAAAGGTCAACCAAATATGAGCTTCCCCCTCACAACTCCAAAAAATTATCAAACATGCAAGCCAACAAGCCACAGTAAGTGTGAATCAAGAGAGAGGGAAAAAATTCTTCCACAGATTCATACTACCTGAAGACTTTTGATATTAAAATTATCAAAATAACAAATAGAAATATTATATTCAACAGAACCTTTACAGAAATCAAATGTGAAATATAGAACAGAAGCAAGTAACAAAAGACTTTGAGAAACATCTGGGCATATCTGAAATACAAACAAATGGAATTTTGAAAAACAAAATGGAAATTTTAAATAGTCAGTGAGTAAAGACAATCTAGTCACAGATGAATTTAAAAACAAGTGAATTGGAAGGAAAGTCTAAAGCTTTACCCAGAATGCAGCAAGGACATGAAAAATTTGAAGAAATGTTAACAGATGTAGAGAATAGTATGAGAATAGCTAATACTATCTCAATAGAGTCTGAGAGTAAAGAATAATAAAGTAAGAGAGGCAATATCTGAAGAGGTGTTGGCTGAGAATTTTCCTGAATTGATGATAAAA